TTAAAGTTGCTTGTATCGGTGCCTGGCAGCCTGCTAGAGTTTCATTGACAATGGTTTGTGTTGGTCAAAATGGATACCATCACCGTACTGAGCAGCATTTACTTCATTGGGAAAAGCACAAGTTTTAAATAATTTATTATTGTTGTTACTGTTTATTTTCATGAAGGTGTTTTCGAAGATAATTTTGACATTTTAATGGTTTCTGTTGTCCTGAGGATTGTAGTTGAGATTTGAGAACATTCGTAATGCAAAATTTTGTTGTTGTGGTTCAAAGTTTTTGTTGTTGTAATTCTGGTTGAGAATAAGCTTTAGTAGTTATTGTTATTATAAATGTATAAGTTTAGTGGTTAATTATATTAAAATTCATATTAGTTGTAATCTAATTATATAAAAAATAAAATGTTAAATTTGGATTAAAAAATTGTGGAGGTTACAACCTGCTGAAACAAAGGTGAAAAAAAGGCAAACAAGTAGCGGGGGTTTATAACCCCCACAAAGTGAATAAAAAAAACTGTTGCGGGGGTTATTAAAAAATCCCTAAAATCTAATTGTGACAAACCTAACAACGAGAGTTTTGAGAATCCCCATAACAATAAGTTGTGGGGGTTTTCAACCCCAGCAATTTATACATTTAACCCCCGCCAATTGTCAGTTTTTTTGTGTGGAATAGCCAACGTCCAGCATAAATGCATAGGCATTTCGTCCCTGGCTACAAAAGGAGAAATTATCTAGAAGCACTGATGTCTGACGAAAGTGTATTAGTGTTCCGTCGGTTCAAATCCAGATATCGCTAGAATGAAACAGAAAAATGGTGTCTCAGTCGATGTTGGATTCTTCTACATTGGCGTTTTGTCGGTGCAACAAAAGTGAGATACAGAGGTTGAGGGGCAAAAATGTACTTGATGGTGAAGATACTTTCTTTGGAAGATATTAAGGGAAAAAATAGGAATATATGTAATTGTGTACTATTATTTTCTTCTCAAATGAGGATAGTCTAAGAAATTTTCATTATTGCAAAGTTAAAGATAGAAAATAGACATTACAGAATATTTGTATGCTCAACAAGAAAATCAATAATGCATTTATCCAAGCTTGGATCTGAATTTGGTAATCATTGATGAATGAAATGGAATATTCCTTTGTTGGTATATCTTCGATTTTCTTATTTATGAATAGCTAAATTTTTAGCTAGGGAGCGTGTGCATGATGTGGGTGTAAATCTTAGTGGGTATTGATTAAATAATTCTAAAATCAATCGTATTGCATGGATCTATTATTGTCTTGAAGTTTTAATCTAAATATCAGCGGTTGCAAACATTGGTTAAATTTTCCAACTCTAATTCGCTTGAGAGAGCAAAATAAGATTGGATAAAACTTCATTAGTGAGGACTAACGAAATTGATCATTGAATTAGAGCTAGAGATAGTCTAATTTAATTGATTTCTCATTTGAGGGTAGATCTAGAGATAGTCTAACCCACTCAAGCAATGTTTGGTACGTGTTTTATTTACATGGTCTTGGAGTTCAAAAGAACCCAAGATATACATATTCATGAGTTCGAGAGAATATTGGATATAGTATAGACAAAAGGTTATTCATGTATCGATTGATTTGGAATTGATGAATAATTGTCTATAGATTGAAACTCCATCACTATTGCACACACCGGCCCCTAGTCGTTTTCATCTTATTGAAATAGTTGTTGTGTTGACCTCTTGATCGTGTTACTTGAAATTTAAATTGAAGATTGTGTTTTCCAAATCCCCCCCCCCCCCCCCCCCCCCCCCCCCCTTCTTCTC